TTGCCGGTTAGGTTACTGATAAAATCAGTCTCAGACAAATTTCTAAACTGTGCTATGTAACTAGATACAATTGAGGAACTTTGCAATAAAAATTGTATATAGTGTCATTTTAATTGAGAGAAAAATAATGTCTCGCTGCTGGGAGAGAAAGCAGTGGTTCCGGTGGGCCCGAGGTGGGCGGTGGCCTCCGCACACTGGGAAGGGGGGACTGCGCGGGAGGCATCTGGTTTTCTCTGGTGCTTGCAGCTTTGGGTCCAGTGTTTTTCCCACAGTGTTTGAGTCGTTTAGCCAGTGGGAGAAGGGGGTGCTTTCTGTGTGGTTCCTCCTTTCATAGCCCAAAGCCATCAAAATAAAACCAAGCTCTGGGGTACACTGGGCATGGCCTCACAGCCCCAGGAGGGGGGCATAGGAAGAAGGCCAGGACCCCATGCCTGGCTGCCTAGTGGGGAAGGAGCACTTCCTCTCCTCTGGCCCCATCACAACAAACCGTGTTGACCACCCTGCCTCCTGGTTCCCATCCCTCACCACTGCTGCGTCCAGTTTGTCAATCACTGTGTCTCAGTGCACTGGAGGTATCACAAATTCCAATTTTTCAAAGCAGTTTCAGTATTTTCAGTATGGATGTCAGGGTTTAATATTGGTTCATGGACAGTCAAGGTTCAGCACCTCCCACACATGGACAGCGGCCCGTTTCCTGTCCTTGACAGCTCTGCGCTCTGCTGGTCCAGCTCCGACAGCAACTTCAGGACATTCAGTGCAGCTATATCATGACAGGACTCCACATCCTTTCCAATGCCGTGACTGATCAGAGGCGGCTGGGAGGAACAATTGATTAGAGATACAAACTCATTCTTGTTGTTTTTGGGAAGTCTTTGTATTCAACCTGGAATCCCTGGACTCTGGAGAGATAGTCCAGCTGCTCGGAGGGCCTCGTGAGAGGACCATGGGGTGTGTGGCCTGAAGAGATGTTATTCTTTAAAATGGTCTCAGCTGTGGGCGAAGTGCCTCCATACAACAATTCCCGGGTGATCATGGCCGTGACCGTGGCCTTGGCAGGATTCAGAGCTACTCTGGAGAGATCTTTGGTGTGGTGTCCTTGGCTGACACCCACGGCCTGGGCCACCTCGGGCACCATGGGATCCCAGCAGGCAGCTGCTGGTGGCTGAGATAAGGCATCCTGAACTCGTCTTCCTTATTACCAGCTCCATTTTCGTCCGCAGAGCCAGGCTCAAAAAAGGTCACTTTCCTTCTGTCTCCCGGTTTCTTCACAGGTGTCTTCTCCTCTGACTTGAGGGCTGGCTTGGTGGGCTGAGCCTGTGGGACTTTGAAACCAAGGATTTCCAGCATGTTCTCGGCTGCGTTCCATTTGGCCACCTTTTTATTGGTGCCGGATCCTTCAGCCGTGTGGTTTCCGACCTTCACCTGCATCACAAACTCCCTGCGGCGCGGAAGGCCCCTCTCCGTGAGGAGTGTGTACTCCGGCTCCTTCTCCTTCTTCGCCTGCTGGATCTGGGCCAGTCTGCTGATTGGATTCATCCCCTGGCCATAGTCTGGGCCTGTGTGAGGCTTGACTATGGACTTGGTTTTCTTTTTGATTCTGGGTTTCACACGTTCAACTGTGGGCAGAGGCGGGAGCTTCTTCAACTCCTCAAGGACAGCAATCACAGCGTTCTTCTTCGAAAGCTTCTTGCTCTTCCCCTCACCTTCCCCTATGAATTCCCCAACTGACACCTTGGTCACAAAACTCTTAATGTGAGGCGGGCCACTCTCAAGGGCGACCTCAAAATTCACAGGCAAGTTCCTTTTAAGTGCAATCTCAAACACTTGACTTATTTCCGATTTATTGAGATTTTCTTTTTCCGATTCTCTTCCATTTACCTCCAGCCTCTCAGGAAGGGGCTCATTCTGCAGAATCCTCAATGCTCTAGAAGCAGCATCATGCTTTGCGGCCTGTCTTGTCCTTCCTTTTCCATTAAACTGCTGCCCTCCCACAGAAAGTTCAACTTGATAAAGGAAAGGTGGAACTGAAAATGGATAAAAGTACCTCCGGGGATAAGCACCTCCTCGCATGTTGTAGCTGTAGGTGGACTGCATCTGAGAGTAAGGGTCAACAGGCTTGTACGTTGGTTTTTTTCCAAGTTTCATGCACAGAGCATTTAGTTCTACAGTAGGAGTTATGCTTTCTGGCTGCTACCCCGAGCGCGTTCCCCGGCCTGCGGTCCTGGGCGGCGGCAACGAGGAGGGGAAGGAGGAAGGAAGAAGGGAGAGGAGGAAGGGACGGAGGGAGGGAAGAGGCGGCGTGGTGGTGGAGGGGGCGGGCGCCACCAGGCCGGGGGTCAGGGGAAGGAGGGGTGCTGAATGAGACGCAGCGGCAGCCTCCGATGCAGACGCTCAGGAGCCACTCCAGGGCCCGCAGCCTGGCCGAAAGTCATCTCTTTTGTTGACTCTACCTTCCAAGCATAGTGTCTGTCTTCAACAGCTAGCCCCTTTTAACAACAAATCCAAAGTAAATGAGATGAAGTTTTGTCATCCTTGCTTCTGAGAAGCCAGTCTAGTTGTACTTTCTCCAACCCATAGTTCAATGTTATAAATTCTTTGCTCAGATCTACTTATCCATTTATAAATTTAATAATTGTTATTTGTGTTAGGAAGTCATAATCTAATTCAGCATATTTTAGAGAAAAAAAAATCTTAGGGCTTCCGGCTTTTCTGAAAAATTTTCTTTGTATAATAGGATATTTAGCAGTTAAGTATTTCTTGCCTCTATCTAATCATTACCAATAGCAGTGGTCTTCTTCCCCCTAAGTTACAATAGTTAAAAATTATATTGCCACATATACTCTAGGGGAGGAAGAGGAAGGAAGGGACACACAAGACTACCCCTAGTGAAAAACCACGGGTCTAATGATACTGGTAAAACAGCTCAAGATTGGGCTACCTGATAGGGAGGTCAATGAGGGCAGCTCAGTGGGTGGATTGAATTCTGTCTACATTGTTCTCCAAAGTCTGTAAATCAAAATTTCTCCCACTTTTTTTTCTTCCCCCCATGTCTGTTTTAATTGTCCAGTTGCCACAGTGCTTGCCAAAGCCAGTTCTGATTAATCTCCTTTGCCAGTGTGTCCCTTGCCATTCCCTATCTCTCCTCCCTGAGAGAGACTTCACCCTGATTCATAAGGAAAAGGGGATGGTGTATTCTCTTAGCTACTTCCTGCTGAAAAGGGACGCTGTGGGTTTCAGGGTGAAGGTCTTTTCTCACTACTCTAAAGGGCCCCTTTGGCAGTAGGAAACACATAGACTATTATGGAGATTGATTTTGGAATTTAGATGCACTGTTATCAATTGTGCTTAGCCGTACATGCTCATATCTTTGAAGATTTATCATGGAAGTGTTGCAGCCTTCAAACTGCAAAGCAGCAAGATGTTCTTCCTTTATCTTGAGTTTCAGCTCATTTTTCCTTTGCATCTCAGCGATTTCCTCTGGGGTGGCTAGTACAGGTGATGATTCTGCTTACAGGTGGTGATTTACCAGAATTGCTGAGTCAACCTGAGGGCAGGTCAGTAGTGATGCAGCTCCCGCCGGGCCACAGCTGTAGTGCATCTTTTTACCACTAAGCATAGTAGAGTTCCTCCAGCAGTCGGGTGATGAGACTATCCACATTCAGCTCCCTGTCCACCAGTCTCTGACTGTAGCGAATCCTTTCTTCTTTGGGTTCCATCTCTCACCCTTCTGTTGAAATGACTGTAAAGTAAAGCCACTCCAGGCCTGCCTTACTCTTCCTTCCTTAGGAACCAGAACACAACATGGGACTCCGCCACCGAGCCGAGCGCAGGTCCGGTCCCGCGCGGCGTCCTCGCGCTGCCTCCGCAGATCAGCCTGGGGTCTGGTGTGGATCGCCGCCCTCTCCCACTTTTTATGTATACACATGTCACCTGAGATCTTACTAACTTAAAGAATCAGATTTCTTGGGTGTGAGTTGAGCAGTAATATTTGTACTATTGATCATTTTTTTAATAGCATCATTTTTCAAATCCTGTACACAGGCATTTATTTAATAAATAAAGTCACATCATGGTAGACTTGAAATTGGCAACTTTTGGATCTTTTTATTACTCTTTTCAGCATCCACCCCTGAAGGGTATTTGCATTGCTATTCTTGATTCAGTTCTAATATAGTGGCCTCCATGATATTTCTTTGTTCTACTCTAGATATCAAAGGCTTTAATACAGGGTTGGATTCCTAAATTAGACCTTTGGCCAAGAGATGAATATTTATTTTCTAGGTGATTTTTGTCACCATAGAGAAATTCAGGGTCGCTGTGAGTCACAGGCAGTTTGATGGCACTTAACAACAACAGAGAAAATCATAAATGTAACCACTGTGGGCATCTATAAAGTTACAAAGCCACTTTTGTTCTTACTGCTGCTTTTGTCTCCTTTGTCATGATGGTTAACTGTTCTGATTTTTTGGAAAGTGCAAAAAGGCTTCATGATGAAGCCGAGAACCATGCTGAGGTAGAGATAGAGTTCTTCCCAAAAGTTTATTGAGCCCCGGGCTACTCAGCAAGGGGAGTCGCACTGGGGTTTGGGCTTAGGGGGCTTAGGTGGGGTTTTAGCAAGTGTGTTTTAGGGGCTTGTGAGATGAGTTTGACGTTGCTGCAGCTCATTGGTGCATAAAGTTTTTGGTTTTGGAAAAGGTCCTAATATGGGAATTTAGGAGTTCTGGTTTTGGAAAATATCCTGACATAGAATTTTCTGAGTTCTGGTTCCAGAAAAATGTCCGGACACAGGATTTTCTGAGTTCTGGTTTCAGAAAAATGTCCTGACATAGGATTTTCTGAGTTCTGGTTTCAGAAAAATCTCCTGACATAGGGTTTTCTAAATTCTGGTTTGGGGAATGTCCTGACAGGATTTTCTGAGTTTTGGTTTTGGAAAAATATCCTGACATAAGGATTTCTGAGTTGAGCTTCAGCCTCAGTTTTGATTTTTAGCCTAACTTTGTGTGTATAGGTGGGTGAGAGAGAACACGTGTGTGTGATCGCGCGTGTGCGCACGCGCGCGCGCGCGCGCGTGTGTGTGTGTGTGTGTGTGTGTGTGTGAGTGTGATGTAATAGATGATTACTGGAGCTGTTAGAAGGGGATTTAGATGCTGGCTCTTATTTATTCCCATTGTTGTTTTCAATACTTTGTAATTAGAGATTTTGCAATAAATTTCATGTGTTTGAAGAAGTTTTGTACTTTTGTATTAACTCACAGCTTTTAGACCATTTGGATTCATTCCTATTGTTTATCAGGGTTCTGAGGCTGTAAATCTTAGAGGAGGAAACTGCCCATCATTTTTCTGGAGAGCACTGGTGGATTCGAGCTTCATTGTGCTACAGTCTGACATGTTACTCAGGGCTCCTTATCTGTTTAACAGTATTACTAAGCTTGCCCTTGAGCTTCTGGCTTGCTTATTCCATTACTCACTGGGTGGATTCTGGATGAATAAATAAAGAATTTATAGCATCTTGAATTTTGACCAACAAAATTGTAAGTAATAACAAGAAAGAAGATTGCTATTTAGTTGATTCAGATTAGTGTGGACCCCTTGTACTATATAACTGTGTTCCTGAGGGTCTCTATAACTCATTTTTTTTAGGATTGCCAGGGGCTGTTTTGTTTGGCTTATTGTGCTGTGCTTACACCTCCTGCCTTTGAGTTAACAGCACACTAGGTTAACTGTTGGCACCACTCGGGGACTCCTTACAGTTAAATAAATAATTCCTCCTGCTTCTAGGTCAGAGACCTTTCTGGGAGGAAGTCCTTGTGTACATTTCAGTTGTTTTCACAGGTTACTGTTCTTTGTCTGCAGTTGACCTTGCCCCATGCTGAGAATTCCCATCTTACTTGGCTTCTTACCAGATTCTCACAGTGACTGACTCAATCCTATTGTGCTTTCTCCACCATTCCCCTTTTGACCTAAGCCCTGTCTACTTTAAGCCTGTGGGAATCTCATTTTCTTTGTCAATAAAAGAATTAGACCCTTATCTTTGCCATGAAGATTTAATGCTGCACCCTTACTTCTCCAAGGTGACTGATGACCCAATTTTCAAGTTTATTGTTTTTTTTTCTTTTGTTTTTAACCCCTTGATTGTCCTAATCCCTGAGCATTTGATTTTGCTGAAATCTCCTCAGGTGTGTTGAATTCATTTTGTTCCACTGTCTTTCATAAATTCTTCACCCTGACTTTTTGCACATTTGCTCACTAAATCCTTTAGAATGTGTTTGCTAGGAACTGTGACAATAAACCAGCCACTGGAACTCTCACTGAGGGAGGAAACACAGAATGAAAGCCAGCCTTTGACTTAGCTTGAACACATGACAGTGAAAGTTGACACTTCAGTGGCCATTGATCCAACAAAAGAAAGCAGAGGAGGAAATACTGGGCAAGGAGAACTGACAGAAGACACTGAGACACACAGGAAATGAACCACACTGTTGGGGAGACATGCATTATTACATCACAGAGCCTTGCCAGGAAGAGACCATTGGCAGTTTTACAAATGAGGAAACCAGTGCTTAAGAGGAAGTAGGTCTTTAAAGGTGACTTGGACAGTTAATCCATTAAAATTGATAGTTAGATGTTGGTCTGTTAAACTTTAAGCCAAGATTCCTTTACTCCTCAAAGAACTGTTTTGTATGCACATAACAGCTACAGATGCCTAGAGCTCCATCTTTGGGAGTCTCTCAGCCAAGATTTCTTGACTGGTTTTCCCCTCCCCTGAATTTAAAAATGTAAAAGATAAGCATGCCTCCAGTTGCCCAATCCCCATCCAGATAAAAAATTATAAAAGAGAACTTTCTTTTTATTTACCCTGTTCTGAAAATTTTTAGTGTTGCTGTGCCCTTTCTGGCTTTGCTTTTGACTCAGCTTTTTGTCTCCTGTGTTAATGTCCAAAGGAAGTGAACTATTCATAATAATGATTGAAAGGTGTCATACTTAATCTTCAGATGATGGGGATTCTGATTGCTGGGGCCAGTGGTATAAGGCTGAGTCTGCTTGCTGTTTTTTTCTCACTTTCAGTCATTTTTTAGGCTGGAACCAGAACTGATTGCTTCTAGTGAGCTTGGACTCTTGTGTAGATGGGAGCTTTGGGTTAGGCCTAGCTTCCTTTTCTATCCTCCTAATTCCTCGTCACTATAACACATTGACTTTAGAACCTAGAGCAGTGACAGACATGCTTTAATTAGATTTCTACCTGGACAAATGTCATTGTCACATACTTTAGTTGAAGAATTGAGCTAGTTCATTATTGGAAATGTTTCTTAGTGTGATTTGCAGATACTGAGGAAATTCCCTTTTTGCCAAAGGAAAACCACTGCTTTGTATTGACCGTTGGACCAATTTTTCTAAAAATCACAAAATTGAGAGCTTGGGTATCG